GCGACAAAGACTGGCCAGTCGGTCCCGGTTTCCGAGGCCTCCAGACGCTCAATTCGCCCACGTTGCTCTCTTCTCCTCCATCCGCCTCCTCCTCTTCCTCCCCACTCTCCTCCTCCTCTTCCCTCCCAGTTCTTATGTCGCCTCCGAGCTCGGCTGGTCGAGCGTCGTCACTGATCAGACAGACTTGGTAGCCCATGGCAGCCAACCTGAGTCTGTTGTCCCAACCCGATGGGGCGCTGGCAATCTGCGCTCCCGATTGGTTCGCCTCGACCGGCCGCTCCTTCTTCGGAACTTCCTCGTCCGGCGAGCCGCCTTCACCGGCCTCGGCGTTGGTTGTATTCGCTTGCGTGGCCGCATGAATAGTGCCGGCTCCGAGTCCCGCCAGCTGGGTCCGCGTCGACCAGACGAGCTGGGCGCTGAGACGACGCAGCCAGGTGACTTGGACTCGGCCGATGCGGAGAACGGGAACTAGACGGAAGAGGGTTCGAACCGAGAAGTCAGATGAGCATAACATTCCCGAGGTTTTGGGACTTTATAAGCGTTTTAGGTTGAACTAATTTGGTTTGTTTGATACGGTTTTGTGCAAGCTAACAAAATTACACGTAAGGTGGTAAGTAGTATTGCACAAAAATTTACTTGTATCCAATCATGCGGTTGTTTGCTTTCAAATTATATTTCTAGCAAATAGTGTGTTTGCTTTTTACCATGATTTAAACCAGTTGTACACTTATGTTGATGTCATCAAAATATCTCAGCTTACGCCGAAAATAATTTTACAAAAACTGAGATTTTTAGACTTTCTTGGTTGAACTAAATTGGTTTGTTTGATACGGCTTTATGCAAGCTAACAAAATTACACGGCCGGAACGCACTACTTATGACTGTCTACTTATGTCGAGTCGTGCCGCCTTCGGGGGCAGGACAGCTGAGGTGGCTACGCATTCCAGAAAAATCCCCTGGCCGGAGCGAAAGAGGTAAAAGGCTCGAACCAGACGGCCGTCCGGTCGACCACTTCATTTCGGCATAGTTTTGCCTCAGCTCATTATTCATTTTGCTTCGACTGTCAGAACAAATGGCCCAATCTAAAGTGCTTATTGCCCAGCGATGCGAGCAGTTTCTGGGGAAAAATTTCTTTATTAATGGCCTTCTCGATTTCAATAGTGATGAGACCTTTTGTAAAAGTTGTTTCTGACCTCCCACCCGCCTTTATCCCTTTGCGGTACGAGCCTCTTAGTCGCATTTCTGGCCACACCGCCTCAGCACAGAGATTAAACACTGAAAGCATCATCTTCATCCACTTAAACGAAAAAGACTGAACAAATTTCATATATCCGAATTACTGGTAGTCTCGAAACACTATCTACAAATGGAAAATAATTAATGTCGATTGCTGTAACGAATACAATTTTGCTCGAATCCTGTTGCGGATGCTGAAGAGGGACGATGAATCGAGCTCGAAAAGACAACCAAAGCTGAATGAGAATACCTTTTCGAAGCAAAGCTAAGTTAAATGTAATAGCATCGAGAGGCTTAATCCATTCATTGTGGGAAAATTCCTTATATTTCGTTTATAAGTAGGGCTTAAAGACTACCATAAACTCAGTTTTATGAGATGTATTCACTCTATTCCGTTTAAGTTGATGAAGGACTGGTAATTAAAGTTTCCCACAATTGCAGTGAATTTCACATAGCCCCGCTTTCCAAAAGTTGCTCCCATCCAGGTTGAGGTGGACGCCAGTTCCAACCTTGGCTAGTTTTTGTAAACACCGCGACGGGATTCGAACCATGACACGTGAACCTTTTGGGAATGTCAGATCAACTCATCTGATTGCGGGAAAGTTCAATTGTAAGTCCTTCATCAACTTAAACGAAATAGGGTGGGTACATCTCATCAACTTCCCTTTCCTTCCTCAAT